GGAGGGGGAAGGTGTGGGGATCATCAAGGAGGGGGAAAGTGGGGGGGACATCAGGGAGGGCGGGAAGGTATGGGGGGGACGGCAGAGGTGCGGGAAGGTGTGGGGGTCATCAAGGAGGGGGAAAGTGGGGGGAGTCAGGGAGGGCGGGAAGGTGTGGGGGGACGTCAGGGAGGGCGGGAAGGTGTGGGGGGACGGCAGGGGTGCGGAAAGGTGTGGGGGGACGTCGGGGGGCTGGAAGGGGCGGCGGACGCTAGGAGGGCGGGAAGGTGTGTGGACGGCAGGAGAGGTTGGCTTGGGCCAACAATTCGCAGGTCGCCGTCCCCACCCCGTCCCGGGCGGCGGGCTCCCGGCCCCGGCCCGCGCCGCCCCTCGAGAGCCCGGGCGTACCCACTGCGGCGGGCAGCTAGCCTCGAAGGAGCTCCTCAGCGCCCGGCAGCGGGCAGCGTCCTCGGCGTTCTCGTCCAGGCAGCGCCAGTAGCGGTCGCGGGCTCCCCAGCACGCCTGCCGCTCCTTCATGGTCGGGGCCGCCATTCCCGCGGGGCCGCGCCGGGCACGTCCGCTTCGACCCTGGCGGAGGAGCCGCCGCCACCGACCCCGCCACGACCCCGCCGGGAAAGCCGCACGTCGAGACGGCTGGGATGGACCCTTCCGGGACACCGTTCTCCGGGCCGCGAAGACGAGACTTCCGGCCCCGTCCTCACACATCCTGGCGACTTCCGGGCCTCGAGGGTGGTGCTGGCGGCGCGGGGTGTGACGGCGGCGGCGGTGGGCGGGAACCCGCCGCTTTCTCATGACGTCGGCCGTCGTGGCCGCGCCCTCTCACGAGGGCCCGGGCGGCCTGGGGCCTCGCAGGGGATGAGGTTCGCTCCTTCCCCCAGGGCTTCAGCGCCCCCGTGTGCCCGCGCGCCCGCGCGGGGTAGCTCGGCTCCGGGGGAGCGGAGCAGCTCGGCTCCGGGGGCGAGCGGAGTGCTGACTGGGACACCCATCGGACTTGCTCGGCGCCACGGGCCGCGACCGCCTGTGACCTCCAGACGACCCCGCAGCCATTGGCGACTGGTGCCGGCCGGCTTTAATTTGCATGCGTTGCTCTAATTGGTGCAGACGATCTCGACCCGTCCCCTTTCTGGCTATCTAAGGAGGCTATTGGCTCACTTTGCGAGGCCGCCAAGAAACGACCTCCCCTGCTGCCCCCTAGTGTTGCAGTGCTGGCCCATTACAAACGTGCGTCCCTGCTTACCTGGGATGCGCTGAGCCGAGAAGCCGGTCACGTGATCGGCGGGATAAATTATGACGGAGTCAAAGTATTTTTTAGCTATATGAAAAAGATCAATACATTCAGCTACGTAAAAACGGATGATTCGCTTACCAAACAACATCAGATAGTTGAAATGATAGTCCCAGCGCGGGAGAAGTTTCCATATATATATATATATGAATTAGTTCACAGGATTTATTAAAAACAATAGATAGATAAGAAATTGGAAACCTGATTTGAAACAGCACAAGTCTTAAGTAGCACTGACGAAGACATGGAAATGACCCGTATTTGGAGATACCTCAGTCCTCATTAGTAACCACAGAAATGAACCGAAAAGACCCAATGCAATCCTAGTAGACTAGGAGAATCCTAGCTATTTGTGGTAGTGTAAGCTTTCTTAGCTTGGAAGACTGAAGATAGTATTGACATTGGCACAGCAGTTCTAAAGCCTGTGGCATATACTTGTCATAGCTTTCACCAGCATACACCCCAGACTTGGGTCTGAAAGAATCAATGAAGGATCCATCACATCCATGCCAGGGGACCACGTGGAGGCAGGCAGGCATAGGAGAAAGATTATTATAAGGTTTATTAGAGGAGCCATATTTGTAGCAGAGAGAGAGCACATGGCGACCTTGCTATCTAGGTAGCAGCAGGGTCTGGGGGAAGGAAGTGAGGTAGGTGGGAGTTCAAGTGGGTCTGGGCGGAGAGAGGGAAGGGCCAGCAGTATGATGGGAACTGCAGGGCAGGGATGAGCTCTGGTCTGGGTGGAGCTAAGGACCAAAAGTGGGCATAATGCTTACAGGATCAACAATCAAATGCATAAAAGTAGAATTATACTGTGAAATGGGATACGGCAATGAAAAAGAACAAATCCTCAATGTAATAACACAATGAACCAGATATTGAGTGAACGAAATCAACAAAGAATGAATGTTGCATGCCCTCCAATATAGAGTCCACAACAAACTGACAAGATTCAACTTCAAGACACAGCTATAAGTTTTACTAAAATTATTTTTTTAAAGAAGCAAAGAAGGAGTGATCACGAATGTTTCTCTCTAGGACAAAGAAAGTGAGTGATGTGATCAGGAAGGCTTCTAGGGGTTTTATTTCTGGATCTGGAAAAGTGTTTGCTTGTAAATCATTATTTAAATAAAGTGTATGTCCTATTGACTTTTTCTTTCTTTTTTTTTTTTTGCTGGTCGTGGGGCCTAAACTCTGGGCCTGGGAGCTGTCCCTCAGCTCTTCAGTTCAAGGCTAACACTCTACCACTTGAGCCACAGCACCACTTCCGGCTTTTTCTGCTTATGTGGTACTGAGGAATCAAACCAGGGCCCATGCATTCAAGGCAAGCATTCTACCATCGAGCCACCTTCCCAGCCCCCTATTGACTTTTCTGTATGAGTGTATGCCTTCATTTTTAATCAAACAGGAGTAATTGGATAAGCAAAGGTATCTTTAGTAGAATTAGACTCACAAAGAAATTTTTTAAAAAGCCATGGTCATACAAAACAGTTTTAGAATGATTATTAAAATTTTGATGAATTTAGCAGCTTACATGCTCTACAAGGTCAAAGGTCAATAGTTCACCACTTCCAGCTGTTCTGTGGTGGGGCTAAAGCCTAGACAGTAAAGTATTACCAAAGACATTCAGTGCATTGTAGCAAGGCTGCCACCTTCCCTTCAGGAGATTGTGGTTTGCCTATTAGTATCACTAGTTTAACCAACTGATCAAAAACTACCAAAAGAGAGGAATTTTGAGATGTTGTTGATAAGAATTAATGCAAGATAATAATGTTACCAACCATTCCAGGAGTCCAGATTACTTAATCCGCAACTTCCCCACCAATGCACAAAAGGTGTCAAAAAAATTAAACAAGGCAAGATGTGACCATAAAGGTGATAGTAAAATGTGGATACTGGGTCTAAGTGGTGCCATCTTGGCATCTTGGTGGCTGAGGGAATGGCCAAAACCTCTTGGAAGTAGAATCCCACCCCCAGATGATGAGCTCCCCTGAATTCCTAGAGGCTTAGGGTGGGGATTTGGACAATAGGTTACTGGACCTGCCAGACCTGCACCATGAACTCAAGAGACTCTGAACTCTCTCTAGCTCCCTGTGAGCCTGCCACCTGACCATGGTCCTATGTAGGCTCCAACCACAGCTGCTGTTGTGCCATGCCTCCTCTATCTGACTCTCCTCTGGTCACCTCCATTAGAGTTGATCTGGTTTGTTAAGATTGTTTTTCTGGTCTTTCTTTACTAACCTCATGGCTCAGTTTTCCAACAGTATCAAGTGTAGTTGAAGCTGCAAGTTTTGGGGAACATATGTCTGCCTACAGTCACTAGCTTTCCCATAAAGACTCCAAATTCAACCTCACAAAATATGGCTTCTTTGTATTTCATGATCAAATTCCCATATAACAATGTGGCCGAGGCTGGGAAGGTGGCTCAGTGGTAGAGCGCTTGCCTTGCATGCTCGAGGCCCGGGGTTCGATTCCTCAGCACCACATAAGCAAAAAGAAAAAAGCCGGAAGTGGCACTGTGGCTCAAGTGGTAGAGCGCTAGCCTTGAGCTGAAGAGCTGAGGGACAGCGCCCAGGCCCAGAGTTCAGGCCCCACGACGACTGGACCACAAAAAAAAAAATTAAAAAAAACCCAACAATGTGGCCACTTGCAGTCACCAGCTGTCTAATAAAGATTCCCAGTTCAATCTCTGAAAATGTGGCTTCTCTGTATCTCATGTTAAAATTCCCATATAACATTAGAAATGTTTATTCAAAGAGAAGGAACAGAAAAGCCCAGTACCTGTGTGCATCTGGGGGAATTCGATCAGCACGATACAGGGAAGCACCACACTTTGAGAGTTGCATCAGGGGTCTTCATTAGAAAGCCAGTGACTGCAAGCAGACTTGTGCCCCCCCCCAAAACCTGCAGTCCCAAATGTGTCTCGCACAGACTTTATAAAGGCAAAAACCACATCAAGGCAGATGTCACAAGGTATATGTAAGGGTTAGAGAAAGGAGAAGAGAGCAAACCACCTGCCTGCACCAGATATAGAGAGAACTAACTAATAGAGAGAGAGAGTATACAGAGGAGGGCGAGAAGGAGGTGTGGCTGCAGTCTATGAGGCTGGGGGACTTCTCACTGTCCCAAGGAGGCATGACTGGAGTGGACGAGGAAGCAGCCTCAGCACCTGGGGGGACTCCCACTGGCCCCAGGTGTGCCAGTTACCTACATTACAGGTGCTCTGGGGAGGGACTTCTAGGGAGGGCAATGTGTGGTGGTACAAATAGAGAAAACAAAGAGAAGGGGCCATTTCTCCAGATGGACCTAACGGTATGGGGACTAGCAAAGCATGTTTTACTGAAGCAAAGCAAGCCGGTTAAAGGTTATCCAAGAGGCAATAAAGGGCATGTTATTTAGGGGGAACAATCGAGGGCAGTGACTGGCAAGTATTCCCCGAAGCAAGACTTTCCTGGAGTTAAGAACCCAAGGCACAGCTGCAGTTCTGAGAATGACCTATATTGCCGGTCGAGTTCTCGGAAAAGAGTCCTCATCCATTAAGACGTCAAGATGGCGGGCAGGACAAGATGGTGTTACTTAGACCCAGTACCCATATTTCAATCTGATCATACAGAGTGATATTTATTGAAATGAACTCCAGGAAATGGAAAGAGGGTTTCCCCCCTCTTTTTTTTTTTGCTGTTTTTGTTTTCTTTTTGCTTTGTTTGTGTACCTGTCTTTGGGAGTGTAAGGAAAGGCACAGAAATGGAGGTACAAAGGGTGAACAAATACAGCAGTGGTACTCACTAAGCTATGTTGAAAATGAACTATAGGGCTGGGAAGGTGGCTTAGTGGTAGAATGCTTACCTTGCATGCCTGAGGCCCTGGGTTCAATTCCTCAGCACCATATAAGCAAACAGTAAAAAGCCAGAAGTGGTGCGGTGGCTCAAGTGTTAGAGCGCTAGCCTTGAGCTGAAGAGCTGAGGGACAGCGCCCAGGCCCAGAGTTCAGGCCCCACAACTGGACCCCCCCCAAAAAAGAAAATGAACTATATACAACTTGTGGGTGAGGATGGGAGGGAAAACTGGAGAGAGTGAGGGAAGGGACTACATTGTCCAAAAGGAAATATACCTTTTGTTTGACTTATATAACTGCAATCCTTCTGTTGAATAAAAAATTTTTAGTAGACCAAAAAAGAGAAATATGATCAAGAGAGCACATGGCACTGATATGCCTCATGGAAGTCAGAATTCAGCCGCCATCTGCCATCTTGGCGGTCCACCGTCTTGGGGGTCTCCCGGGTCTTCCTTTGTTACAGAGTTGACCTTGCATTTCCAGGAATGTTGTGTCAGAAAATCCCTCGTTTCCTCCTACTTTGGTCTTCTTACTTTCTCATTCCTCTGTAGCTCCTCCCTCCAGGTCCCCAATTCCGCAGGCAGATAAGTCTAT